AGGTTGCCGGTGCATTACACAGCCCAAAAGGCATTACTAAGCTCTCAAACAGGCCATATCTTGTGTTGAAGGCTGTTAGCCATTCTTGTCCTTCTTGCATCCGAATGCGATTGAAGGCACCAATAATGTCAAGCTTGGTGTCATAATATGCTCTACTTAGTTGAGACAATGTCTCTTGTATGAGAGGAAGTGGATATTTATTCTTGATCGTGATTGCGTTTAATGCTCGGTAGTCGACACAAAATCTGAGTCCTCCTCCCGGATTTTTGGCGAATAGTACTGGAGAAGCTGCTGGAGAAGTACTTGAGCGGATGAACCCTTTTGCTAGATTTTCATCAAGAAATTTTCGTAAAACAAGTAGTTCTTTAGTCGACATTTGGTATAAAGGTCCTGATGGTAGAATTGTATCCTATTTTAGATTAATCTTATGATCGCAATCCCGATGTTCAGGTAGAATATCAGCTTCTTTGGCGTCAAATTAGTGAAGAAATTGGTGAAAATGCGAAGGGAGGTTGATTTTTGGGTCAACAAAAGGTTTTGGGCCGAGTGCGATCCGGACATCTTCAAGTGAAACTTTTGCACAGGAAACATTTTGTTTCAACATATTTCCAAGTTCTTTTTTTTGAAGCTCAAGATCAATCTCTTCAATACAAGTACTGAAAACTTCTACATCTTCCCGATCTGCTAGCAATAAAAAGGCAGCAGCGCCGACCTTCCCAGGTTTTCCGGGCGTATCAAACTTAGATTTATTGAAAAAGGCAATTTAGGGCGGGTTTTGAGGTATCGAATAGTTGGGTTTGCGATCAAAGCAATATTTTTGGCAGTACACTTTATCAAAGGTAACTTTTTTTGAAGCCCAATTGACAAAAGGGTTATACAGTGAAAGCCAAGGGAGTCCTAAGATAAAATCATAATTTCCCAACTTTTTCACCAAAGCGTCGGTTTCTTTCAAGTGGTTTCCGATCTGTAATTCAAGTCTGGCTCCATCAGTGATTAAGCCACTAATTGATTCAGTTCCATCAGCCGTAATGATTTTTTTAGCTTATGGAGTGGGTAAGTGTAAAGTTTGTAATTTGCGCATACGTCAATGTCAATAAGAGAAGTTGTAGTACATCCACAGTCAAGAAAAGCTTTTGTTTTAATAATTGTTCCATCAATATCACTAACTTTGCAAGGTAATAGCAAATGATCATGGTGATCTTCTTTAAATGAAGATATACAAACAGTTACTTCTATATCATTGGTTACATGCTCCTGGCGGTGTCTTTTGCCGGAAGCTACACATTTTCCGCCTCTTGTAGACGGGCCGAATCTTTTTCTTTACTCTCCTCAGCAATAACTGTACTATACAAATTTTAGGTCTTTTTCTTTTTACGATTTTGAAAAGATGCAGGATAGTCGCGTGGTATGTGATCCCTGGGGTCACAAACGATGCAAAGGTTATTTAACGCGTTGTAGGCGCGACGATGTGCTTTTTCGACATCGTTGGTAGGTTTCCTACCCACATCTTTTGTAGTCCACTTGCTGACTAGTTGGAGACCATTTACATGGGTGGGACTGAGATCCATGGCATCACCTCCTTGTGATGTTGTCAGCTTTATGTTTTGGGGAACTAGGAGCGGTGTGTGGGTTGTTGGGAGATTGTATGCGTAATTATAATGTTCTCGGCAGTTTTTTAAGAAATATTTCGGGTCTAAATTTCGTAAAATTTCGTCTTGTTCACGTACGAGAGCAATGAAATCGTGGAGCAATTCGGGAATATCCGACTTTTTAATGAATGAAAGGCGATTGTTGATATCAGGATGGAGTGCATCTTTAAGAGAAGATATTAAGGCGCTATCATTAAATCCAGAAAGCTCTGAGAGCGACATCCAATGAGGAAGAAAGGTAGCAAGAGGTTGGTTCTTTTGAAAAGACCCCTTCAATTCTCTTAGTGCGGTGGCACTCTCGTCTACATCACCGAAAGTCTGTTTAAGGGGGCTAATAATGTCATCAATAGATTTGTAAATTATCTTACCGTCAGATTTAAAGCCACTATCAACTGATTTTTTGCGATCGAGCCTTCGGGGAAACATGACGCAACGTAGAATATTCGTAATCTTTCTGTGTCCCACCAATCGGCGTTGACTTCGAGCTTTCTGCGCAAGTCACGAATGAAAGGGGTTAGTAGTTTATTGTCGGCACTAGAAAACTTTGGATCCATGTAAGGTCTAGATAGTTCTCTTCTTTTGCTTGTTGAGCTCATGAGCTCAGGTAGATTGAGAGCCGAAATAAGTTTTTGTGCACCTTTCATCTCCGCTTCATGTTTCGTGGATAGATTGTTGTGTCCAAATTGAAGGTTGTTGAAATTAGATCCGAGTATTTCAAATTTTTCCTTGATTTTCCTGTCGGGTATTTCGAGGTCCCTGTGACGTACAATGAGATTTCCTGCAATGTGGAAAGCTCGCCGGAGTTCGAGTAGGGCAATAGTAGGGTTGGCTTGGATATATTTTAAATTAGGAGCGGTATCAGAGGCAGATTACTACAGGGCCAATGTTCCCGAATTCTTTGCCGCAGAGGTTGCTAGGAAAATTAAAAGATTCAGGTGATGGCTCCACCCGTCTGTAGGATGCGAAATTAGATATGGGAACGGGTTGGGAGGTTAAATTGTCCATGACTTGGAGAAAGATGCGCTAACAAGTAAATTCAGCTAGGTAGTGATCAATATGTCACGATATAAGACAATATCCTTATTAATAGATAGATTGATCACGAAGCTACAAGAAGTCCAAGAGGACCATTCTACTTATTGTGCCTCGCTTATTGTTTATGCTAACCACCTTAGTCAGCGAGGGTTAAACGTGACAGGACGCCGACTGTACGAACACCTCGGTGTCGTTGCCCCGTATTTGTCTAATCGCGTATGCACCATCAATATGTAGTTTTGCTTTTGATAGCAGTTCTTCCAACTGCAGTTTATCGGCTCCGTCAATTATAATTCTTATCGCCGTTTTCGTCATTTACGAGGCCACGTCCGACAGGTACCTCCTTAGTGTGGCGGGCTCGAAGTCACTGCTGGAGCAGCTTTACGAGCAGGATTCGCGAGGCTCTTCTACTTTAATTATAGCAGCAGAATAAATCGGAAGTCGTCTGGTAATATTAGAGAAGTCTTCGCAGAGGGTATAGTTATAATATAGCCAGTCATTAATTTGATATACCATCTTTGATTCTGAGACATTTCGTCAGCTCCAATCTGAGGCGGTTTCACGTACCGTTGTGGGTGACGAAAACTCAAAAACTGCCGACGATGTTTCCTACGGGCCTTCAACTCTCACAGTGGAATTTTCAGAGCCAAGATTGAGTAGCAGCGTCCCCACTTCGATGAGGATTACCCATCACTTTCGCCGTCTATATCGTCTTCATCTCTCAACACATTCCCCTATCACCACTATCATGAAGCTAACCACGATCAGATAAGATAGTAGGGTCGAAGCCCTCCTTATCACCAACCTTTGATCATGGAGGAAAATCTGTCCGATGAGTTTCCGGAGCGTACCCAGCACCCGATACGGCGATGGTGGATTGGACCAAGATGGCCTCGACTGTGAAAAAGAAGGGAGATATAGATGAATATGCGCACCTCATGCGGTCCCGGTGTCTAGGTCTCGCTTGGATGATACAGCAGGTTTTTTGAGACTTTTTCCCGCACACGCAGTGTCCATTACTGTCATTTTTTTAAGTAGATGGTTTCGTATATCAGGTAGATAAATTCTACAGTTAAATACCGAGATGATTGGCTATCTGTTTCGGACAATATATAAGTTATACTTTAAGTAACAAACCGGAATATGAGTACTATACTAGGTGTGTCCAAGACCAGAGAAGAGCCGAATGTCCTAGAAGGCCTTTGACTCTAGCACTACAAAGAAAACGAAACAAATAGAAAACCGGGTTTATGGCGAGGTTACACTGCCACTTTGAGCGACTTTAAATGTGATAGCGCGAAAGCAGTAACTAGACAGTAGTGTCCTGGAATATTTTTTTAAAATCACGACTTGAATTGTGGAAATTTATTGAATTCAACTCCTGGATCGAAGGTCGCTATAGGAGTTGTTACTGTTAGACGGAAACTGCAGATGAGGTATCGGTACCAATGGCCTGTGAGCGGAGAAGACCTGTATGACAGATATAGTCTTTGACAAAGGCGGCACAGTAAGACATCTAGTCTCTCCATATTTCTACGGAGTGTCATATGCAGTATCATAATGAGTGTCATGAAAATATATGGTGCGTCCATTGTAAACGAGAGTTGATCGTCAGAATTTTCAATTGGTAGGCATCAACCTATGGTGATATTTTGATAATCGAGGAAAGTTATTACTTTTTTATCTTCAATTAACTTCGGCTTTGGTCTTCTATATATCTCATTTGTGATTGATCTCCAACTTTCAACGTGAGTGAAATAAAGCGAGCTTGTCATTATAGTTGGGCTTCACGCTGACGACTCAACCCAAGTGACTCAACGTATTCTTTGGCTACAAGTTGGGGTAACATTGTTTCCACAATATTTGGGTAGAGCGGGTTGTTAAGATAATGTGAATGCAGGACCTAGTGCATGAGTGTACACGAAATGCGCAATCACTGCTCAATGTCGTAGCGAACAGAGGCCCATTGATCATGTCAAATAACTTTAGAACTAGCTTTAAGGAACAAAATCTTTCCCTCACCCTTACTCGGGACTTAGCCGATTCTCTAGTGTCTATTGCATCATCATCCGGAGATCTTATGACTAGCCTGCTAGCTGCTGCTTAAATTAACAACCAAATTCGTGGCGAGACGTGAAGGTCGGACGATTGGCAGCCGAAAATGAAACAGGGATGGGGACGTCTCATCCACTCAAGGCAACTTAACGTCGTTGGTTCCTTCATATCATTTGCACTGCCTTCTTTTAATGCCAACCGTTCGCTCTTTTGCTTCCGTCAAATCTGTCAACTTCGTCTTCCGCTATCTCGCAGCGAGCCATGCTTAATGTCTCTGAGGCCTCAAGATTTACCGACATGTACGACCTACCACCCCTTCCTTCCTACACCCTATCGCCGGTAGAGCCTCTTTTCTTCATTCCGGACTTCTACCTGACTCTCTTTCTACCCGTTGTGGTCTATTGGATATTCTCCATGTTTTTTCACTTGATTGATATATATGACATTTGGCCTCAGTACAGAATTCACACTCCAGTAGAGATTCTCAAGCGGAACCGCGTCTCTAGATATGAGGTTGCACGCGATGTCATCATACAACAGATTATACAGATTTTAGTGGCCACTGTGCTAAATTTAATGGAACCAGAGCAGACCGTAGGGAAGGAAGAATACGAAATAGCCTGCTGGGCAACCGTACTTAGGCTTGCACAGAGAGCCCTGCCACAAGTCTTTGCTCTTTTCGGACTTAATGCCAGTGCTATCTCCAAAAATATATCTCAATCTCATCCAATGCTCGCAGGCGCTCTTTCAGGTGGACGGTACTCCTTTCGGACGATGGGAATAAATGTCGACGGAAGCCCATCAAATCAAGCCTTTGCCCATTGGGAGTTGGCTGCTGCCAGTATAGTGTACTGGTATATTGTACCTGCTTTCCAATTCCTAATAGCCGTAATTTTTGTAGACACATGGCAGTATTTTTTACATCGCGCAATGCATGTAAATAAGTGGCTTTACAGTAGGTATTCAACAAGATTTAATTCTTTTTAACTAACGAACGGCTAGCTACTTGTCATTCTCGACATCACCGCCTGTATGTTCCTTACGCTTATGGAGCCCTCTATAATCATCCATTCGAGGGATTTTTACTCGATACTCTTGGAGCTGGACTGGGTTACAAGCTGGCTGGCATGACTGCCCGGCAAGGCATGGTTTTCTTTGTCGTTTCAACACTTAAGACTGTAGATGATCACTGCGGATACGCTCTACCATGGGATCCATTACAACATATTACAAGCAACAATGCAAGTTATCACGATATTCATCATCAAAGTTGGGGCATTAAAACCAACTTTTCTCAGCCTTTTTTCACATTTTGGGACGGATTTCTGGGGACGATGTGGACTGGGGGCAGAACCACTCGATACTCAACTAAGAAATCTGCGAAAATCCGATCTTAATTTTCCTTACAAGGTCACGAAATTAAATAATTTATGCATTATATCGTAACGAAGGCGACTGTGGTATCGTATCCACGTGTGGACGGTGCTCGTCGGAGAAGGGTTTAAATCAGGTGTTTCGGTTCCAGGTCAACAATAATCACAAAGGCGAACTTGCAATTTTACTGAAATATTAGGTGTTGGCAGCTAGATATTTATTCATCCCTCACTGGGCTCCATTTTTGTGGCCGTAACCCTATGCCAGCATACTTTCGTGCAAGTATTCAAATAATTGAAAACTATGCAGTTCTTTTTAAATAGATTCCACCCTGCTACCTCAGAGTTCGGAATAATTGTCCACAAGAAGATGGTGAGAGCAATGCCCAGTTTTTCGGAGCTTTCAGGCGTACGAAGTGAATACACATCTATCAGAAAAATTACTATTCCATAAAGCCTTACCTCCTCTGCTGACTTTTAAACAGTCCGAGTTTTAATTTGGACCCTTTGATAAACAGCATTGCGTTGTCTTACTATTTTATTACAAAGAATCCTGTCATCTAAATTAAGGGTCCATTCTTAATTTTAGCTTAGACGTAGTCACTGGTGATCCCAGTCTTGCATCAACTACACTAACGAGCTTCTACATGTCGATTATTGTCATGCCGCGTGTGACGGCGTCAGGCAACCTTGATCACATTTCATCGCTTTAGTCTTAGCCTACACTACCCTCAAAGTAGATTAGCCTATCCGTACATCACTTAGTTACTTTGATGTTAGGAAATTTTACTAATTGCATTTTATGTACTGGACTCAATAGCAACTAGCGTTTATAGCTTGGGGTCTCCGCACCAGAGAATTGCCAAATTTGTTGGCACAGAGTACTATCACCTATGTCATTGTCTTTCTTTTGATAAATACTTTACAGGTGGAGCATTTTGTAGGCCCTAATATTTTTAAGTTTTCTTGTCTTAATTTAAACCAGTAAAACGAGGGGAGGGAGTTACAGAAACGTCGTTCTAACGCAGAGAATTGAGAATTCGATTGCCTGCTGAGAGAGATCTTGATTTTGTTTGAATCTAACGCCGTGACTGTCCGCAGCTCGTGACTAATGTCGTGCGCTGGACGACCTAGTCCATACAGGACTACCCGACACTCCAGCGCGCCATACAGCACCAAGAAATTACAAAAGAGCCCGAGCAGCTGTCCACACAGAGGCTTCATCATCACGAAACATTAATTCAGGGAACCAACACCCTCATTGTTCACCAAAGTGACTATATTGCATTCCACTTACGACATCTTACTGTCACCTACATTTCTCAATCACCTATGCCGCCCCAGTCCTCCGCAGAGGCTGGCTCCTGGCCACCTCTCCCCACCCAACACGCGACGCGCCAGGACGTCGAAATGGATCTCAACGATCCACAATACACAATACCGCCTACACCACACAACACCACACCAGACTCAGTCTGCTGCGCGAGTCAACAGCACTCTTCAAACCCGAGCCCAAACCCCACGGCCGTCAACATGACCAACTTTCTCGCCGAACAAGCGAGAGCTTTCCAGGAACGTTTTGCGGAAGCAGAGCGCATCGTCAGCGGGTACTGCAACCTGCTCGAATCGACAACAGACGAAGAGTTCCGAAAAGCCATCGAAATCACCGGTTTGGCTCTTCAAAGCCGGATCACAGAAATTCTGCGGGGCAATTCAGCCACCCCCAAAGCCACAGCACCAGCTCAAGCTGCAAGTGGCCACATAATCAAACCTCGCCTCGAGACAGCTAAAGAGTCGAGGAAGAAGACTATTGCGAGCGTCGTGCGTCCTGTACAGATCCTCGCCAGGGAAAACACGAGATTAGGAGCAGCCACACCACCCGCTGCTTCTGTGACACCAATCCCTACCCATGGGACAGAACAAACCACCAACCAGACTCCCGGGAGATCCTGGACAGAGGTGGTGCGTAAAAAGGCTAAGCCAGCAACCACAGCTGCCACAAAAACAACCACTGGCCACACGCCCACATCGAAACCCAAGGCATCAGCAATGATGCAGGAAAAAGCTGACGAGCGCGTATTCTTACGGCTCAAACCGGATCACCCGTGGAGACGCATGTCTCCACATCTCATAAAAATAAGCCTGGCTAGTAAACTACGACTGGCTAACTCATCAATCAGACAAGTCACAGTCGTGAATTCTGGATTTGCAATACAAGCTGACGGGGAAGGAGCAAGAAGCGCGCTACTGACAGGAGCGAATACCCTTGACAGCTCTGAAATGAAGTTGGAAGCCGCGTCCAATTGGATATCAGTGCTTGCACCCAATATTCCAGATAGGCTATATAACCTCGAGGGACCAGTGCCAGTCACGCCAGAAATGGTGATCGAAGAAGCCACCCTCAAGACCGGCGTCAGACCAACATCTGCTCGCGCTTTTGCGACTAGCATGGCAAGGCCATCAACAGACTGGGTGCTACATTATGCGACGGGAAAACCAAAGCTTGGTGAACGACTATTTGAAGAAAGTGGTCGGCTGCACGAACTCCAGCGCAAGCCAAAAATTGCTCAATGCAACCGATGTTGGGGACACCACCCTACAAAGATCTGCTCGCGAGCAGAACGCTGTTCACGATGCGGCTCTGTCGAGCATAAGGCCGCCGATTGCAAACAGGCTATCCCGAGATGCATTAACTGCCATGGACCACACTCTGCCGTCGAGCCTAACTGCATGGCTAGGCCGACGAGGGTTGCTGGCAAAACAGTACAGCGCACAAGAGACCAGCTGGCGGTAATTCGCGAACAAGGTCAAAAAGAACGGAACGCTTCGATCAGAGAGATGGAAGCAAAGCAGAAAGCCACCGAGGCTACTGCCGGAAACGAAAATACAAACGTTGCTCAATGCCCGTAAGGGACCACAACCCAACCGAGCTTCAAAAAATGGCAACAACAATATCGTTCCTCTGTGCTAATCTGGGCAGAGGAGACCCTGCTACGGACATCATCCTGCAATCCGCTTGGGATTCAGGAACCGATGTCCTACTTATCCAGGAACCCTGGACTAAACACAAGGACGGCTTCTGGCTCATCAAGTCGCATCCCGGATTCGATAGGCATTTGCCTCCCCATGCCGCTGCCAACTCTTCAAGGCCACGCTCCCTCATCTACACGCGAAAGGGGATCAACTGCCAACAGCAAGCAATCTGCGAGACATCACCAGATCTCACTGCAGTAAAGGTAGAAGGAGTCACATTTGTCTCCGTATACCGCGCTCCTGGAGCAGACCTTTTGCCACTGCTATCATGGGCTCCATCCGGACCCACAGTTATTGGCGGAGACTTCAATGCTGTTCACATCGACTGGCAGCCAATGGCTACTAGGCTACACGGTGACGGCCAGGTGCTCACCGAGTGGATGTTCGAGCACGGCATGGACCTATCTTCCACACCGGGCGTCCCGACACACGACTTTGGAAACACACTCGACCTAGTTTGGTCTAACGCGGGAGCCCTTGCAGACGTCTCGATAGAGCTTGACTCGACATCGGACCACAGAACTCTTGCGGGAGACGTTCCGCGTCCAAACTCGAAAGCCAGAGCTGTAATCAAAACTGGTCAACCGTTCCGAGTGACAGACGACGCCCTCGAAGACTTTGCCAAGGTACTTGGTAGATGGGCTCATGGAATAGGGCTACAGCCAATGGACTCAATAAGCGCGGTAGAAAACCTCGCTGATAAGCTGGTCCAAACCATTAGCGATGCAATTAGGGCTACCGGAAGACGCGGGAGTGCGAAGAAGGGTAGGACGGCACCTTGGTGGACGATAGAGTGCGCACAAGCCAAACGCGAATACAGGATATTCAGGGACGAAGAGAGCAGAAAGGATTTCCGTCGCATAGTCAGAAGTGCGAAACGCCAGTACTGGCGGCGGAAGTTCTCCGAAGCCACAACTGTCGTCGACATATATCGGATGGCACGCTGGGCAAAGCCGCATTCTACATCTGCTACTCCACCACTCCAAACTCCGGATGGTTTTGTATCGGATCCAGGAAAGCGTGCACTTCTATTGCGCGATCTCCTTCTCGGCCGGTTCACCAGCCAAAACGACGTGGACACCAAACACCTTGAGCTAGGACGCGGAAACCTTCCATGGGTCTCAAGCGTCACTGATGAAGAAGCCAAGTGGTTCACAACGGCCTGCCAGAATAAAGCCCCTGGAGCAGACGCAATTTCTGTTCGTCTTCTTAGGACAGCCTGGCCGTCAATTGGACAAGCAGTGAGAGTACTCTTTGAGGGCTCACTTCGACTGAACCACTTCCCGAAGGCATTCAAGCTAGCGGAAGTAATTCTTCTCCCCAAACCTGGCCGTAATCTCAGTACAGCTAAAGGATGGAGGCCCATCGCACTGCTATCCTCTCTCGGCAAAGGTCTCGAGAGACTAGTCGCAAGGCGCATGGCCTACACCGCCATCTCGTACAAGGCCGTGCCGCAGCAGCTTTTTGGAGCACTCTCCGGCAGATCCGCTAATGACCTTGTCTCATGCGTTATCCACGATGTGGAGCATGCAATGAAGAGGCAGAAGAAAGCAGTTCTTGTCACTCTGGACGTACAGGGTGCATTTGACGCTGTACTCCACGGACGACTGCTGCAAAGGATGAATAAAGTTGGGTGGCCGAAACCAGCCATCACTTGGATAAAGTCTTTCCTGAAAGAACGATCTGCCCGTGTCAGACACGAGGATGGAGTAACAGACCCACTTCACCTAGAGTGCGGGCTGCCACAAGGATCGCCTTTATCCCCAATTCTCTTCCTCCTCTACATGGCCGAAGTCGTGGGGGGCAGCAGTTGGAGATTTGGCTATGCAGATGATGTTGCTATCCTCGGCATAGGCTCGACTCCAAACGAAGCCGCAGCAGCTGTCCAGAGAGAAGTCGATGCAGTCCTAGGGTGGGCTGCTGAAAATGCCGTCTCTTTCGACCCAGATAAGGCCGAAGTAGTCTACTTCGTCGGCCCCAGATCCAGGGGA